AGAGAGGTTCACAAAGAAGTTGGCAATGTGGAAGAGAAATTATATTTCCTTGGGGGGAAGAATCACCTTGATAAAATCTACCCTAACAAACCTGCCCACTTATTTCCTCTCCACTTTTAAGATCCTAGTGAAAATAGCTAGGAAGTTGAAGAAGATTATGAGGGATTTCTTGTGGGAACCTAGCGATGAAAAGAAGGATCATTTAGTGAAGTGGGAGCAAGTTTGTTACCCTATGGAGCAGGGTGGCCTAGGTATAGGGAACATATTAAAGAAAAATAAGTCCCTTCTAGAGAAATGGCTGTGGAGATTCCCTTGTGAAGTAGATAGGTTGTGGCATAGGGTCATTAAAAGCATTCATGGTGAAGCAGATAACGGCTGGGATGCAAAACTAGCTTCCAATGCAGCTCCAAATTCCCCTTGGAAGGCAATCTTTGAGGTACTACCAACCTTTCTTCAATTTATCTGGTTTGATGTTGGGTGTGGCAATAAAGTATTATTCTGGGAAGACCTTTGGGTTGGGGTTTTGCCTTTTATGGTGAAATTCCCGGACCTCTACTCCTTATCAAACCTTAAAAACAAACCTGCTGCTAGGATTGACATGCTTTCAGACTTGGGTATCTCTTGGGACTTTGGCTTCAGAAGAGGGTTGAGGGCAAATGAATGTGAGTCCCTAGTGCTTTTATTCTCAACCCTTGAGAAGGTCTATTTAGACCAATCTATAGCTGATAGTAGAGTCTGGTCCCCAACTCCTGATTGTTTATTTTCTTGTGCCTCTTTCTTTGGTTTGCTCACTCACTCTGATCCTTTGAGGGTGAACTTCCCAGTGAGAGAAATCTGGTGTAAGCCAATCCCTCCAAAAGTACAAGTTTTCTGTTGGGAAGTGTTCCTAGGGAAGGTAAACATTCGTTGTGTTCTAAAGAAAAGAAGGCCAAACAAATGCCTCTCTCCTCACGTGTGTGTCCTTTGTATGGATTGTGGTGAAACCCTACCCCACTTACTTTTATCCTGTTCTTTTGTTTCTGGTATTTGGGATTTTGTTTGTTCTCTCTTTGGATGCACATGGGCTCCCCAACAGGATGTGGTCAGTCTATTCAGCCCCTCCTTCCTGAGGCAACAGAAGAAAAGAGGAAAGTGCTTATGGAAGGCAGCAAGAGCTGCTACAGTATGGACTATATGGGAGGAAAGAAATCAAAGACTTTTCTCTAGAAAAAGTAAATCAAAGGAGGAAGTTATTGCAGCCATAAAAATCAGAACCGCACATTGGGTGATGACCATGGAGCTATTCAAAAATTTCTCCACGAATGAGATTCTATGAAGTTGGACTGAAGTAGCACAAACAGATGCACCCAAAGCAGTTGTGAGAGTGGAATGGAAGCCACCTGCATTGAACAAACTAGCCCTGGAAGGGCAGGCATAGGGGGTGTGATTAGAAATCATCTGGGTGTGGTGGTGGCACTCTTCTAAGAACCAATAGGTATTGGTGACTCAATACAGGCTGAATCTCTAGCTCTACTTCAAGGTCTAAAGATGGCTGAGCATATTGGACAAACAGATTTAGAAGTAGAATGAGACTCACTACTGGTCATTTCTTGGGCTAAAAACATCACATCAGCACCTTGGAAGCTCAAATTTATCTTCAGAGAAATTGACATACTTGCGAGGAGGCTCAACTCTCAGTTTGGTTGGGTCAAACAGAATGCAAATGGGATGGCGGATACCCTAGCAAAACAGGGGGCAAATAGATCTACCTTGTACTGGGCAGAACTGTAGCTGCTTGTATGTGTTTGCAGATTGGGTTAATGCATTACTGCAACCTATAACTATTGTAACTGATTGTAACCTTTTCTCTGCTATTAATCAGAAATTTTTGCTGATAAAAAAATGTTTTAGGGAGCTTGAATTTGGGAAGATATCAAGGGTATTTTCTTGTAAGCTTTAAATATGCCACTAACTTTTATGGTTTCAATCACTTCCTCCTTAGGAGATGTATCTACAAATGACATTATGGAAATGGACTGTACAAACAAATACACAGAAATTGTGAGGATGGAATGGAAACCTCCAGAGCCCAACAAGCTGACGTTGAACTTTGATGGTAGCTCCTTTGGCAATCTGGGGAGGGCAGGCATAGGGGGAGTCTTTAGAAACCATCTAGGAATAGTAGTAGTTTTGTTCTCAGGACCAATTGGCTTTGGAGATTTGATTAAGGCTGAGATAATGGCTCTTCTACAAGGCTTGAAACTAGCAGTACAACTAGGAGTCGAAGAGCTGGAAGTAGGAGATTCATTGTTGGTCATTTCTTGGGCTAAGCATATCAACTCAGTGCCCTGGAAATATAGATTTGCTTTCAGAGAAATTGATCTTCTTACAAAGAGTTTTAATTCTAAGTTTGGCTGGGTAAAAAGGATAACAAATGGGTTAGCAGATATTCTAGCAAAACAGGGTGCTGATAGATCTATGTTATTTTGGGCAAAGTTGTAATCAGTTGCAGCAAAACAGGAGCTGATAGACCTACGTATTTTGGGCAAGCTGTATTCTGATGTAAACTGGGCTACTGAGGCCTTGTTCGTTTGTAACAGTGCAGCTTACCTGGGTAAGTCCACTTACCTAGGTAAATGTTTCCTGGGTTACATTTACCTGGGTAAATGCACTTACCCATGTTTTTTAATTTTCAGGATTCCCAGGTAAATAATAAAATGACATTTCTACCCACAAAAAGTAACTTAAAATGGGTAAAATGGTCCCATCATGTTTTGTAAAAATTTCTCCCAGTTGGGAAAGTTACTTACCCACCTAGGAGATGGGTAAGTTTTACCCAGGAAAGTAAGGGTAATTTTACTGTGGGGCCCATTGCTTAATGCAAAAAGAACATGGGTAACTTTCCCATGCATATTTACCTGCAAACGAACAGGACCTGAGTGGATGAAACACTTGTAATTGTTAGGGCTATCAATGGGTTGGGTCTAGGTAGAACCAGTTCTGAACCGATTATTTAATTAGGACAAAATCACAGACAGAACCACTCGATTAATAGTCGGGTCTATCGGGTCTAGACTCAATAGAGCCGATTATACTGAAAACTATATTTATTTATTTATTAAAATTTAAATTTTGATAATTCAATCTTAATAAAATTAGTAATTGTTAATAAGTTAAACATTTTTAACTAATATTATCTTATTTATTATCTATCAAATTTACCATTTCAAACTTAAATTATACTATAAGAAAATTAAGAAAATGTTATACATAATAAAATAATTGGTTATGGGTCTGAATTGGGTCGGGACAGGCAAGAACTGGAACTGACCCAATTATTAATCAGGACAAAACCATGGAACCAGAACTGTTATAATTGGTTCGATCAGTTCGGGTCCATTGGGGTAGACCTGACCCATTGACAGCCCTATATCACCATAACTTTCCTTTTGGACAACTAGTGAAGAATTTGATTTCGCTTTGCAACTTCGTTGCTGTTTTCTGTTATTCCATCATTCCATTCCATGCATCATTTGTTAGGTTCCGTTGATTTCTTGCCCAAGAGTTGTGAGATTGTAACCATTGCAGAAAAATAGTGGGACTCCATGGCTGTTGTTTTCATTTTTGTTTGTTGCTTGTTTTTCTTTTGTTTTCTTTGGTTCCTTGAACCTATTCCATTTTTTTCCTCAATCTTAATCCCTTTCTATACATCTCTATCATTATTTTCTTGTTTACTGTAATCAGTCTAGGCCTCCATTCTCATCTTTTTGAAGTATTACTGTCCCAAGCCCCTTTATATACTTGGTTCTTACTTTTGATATCTACAGCTTCTCTTTCAATGGTTGTCCTAATTATCTTTCCTTATCTTCTTGGCCCGAATTCCAAAATCTACATCTTTCACCTCCTAATAGCATTTTATACTTTTTGGCAGATTGTTGAACAAATCTACATCTTGTAGTGAAATTACAAGGAATAATAAGATGATGTTATACTTTGAATACCCCTTTACATTCTTCATGCATAAGACACATGTTATTGGCATCTTTTTCATTCTCTCATCAAGAGTCGCTTTGAAAGTCCTACCTGAACTCTTCTGACTAAATAAGATAAGCCTATAAAACAGTGAGATACTATCGTTTTTTCATTATAGATTGAGATGTTCTTCAATTTTTATGCACAAATAGATGAATAGCAGCAAATAGCATCTTTTATCCTGCATATCCATGGAGCTCAATTACATTTAGAAACATGATCAGCATCTATCTTTAAGCAACTGAATGGAATAAAGGACTCTATAATCATATGTGCTCACCCATGTGCTCACCCAGTGAGAAAGGTCCTATCCCTGCCAAACCAAAAATCAAAAGAAAAAGAGAAAGCCTTTAAAAATTGTCTTGGGATCCTTTCTAAACAGAGAACCTCAACGTTATAGAAACTGGGGGAATCTAAACTACATAAGCCAAAAAGGACCTCCATTGATCATTAAACCAGAAAACTAAAAAGAAAAAAAAGTCCTTGGATCCCATGAGCAGCCATTTTGTGCAAAAAAAAAAAAAAAAAGCTGAAGGTTAGGACAGTATCCAGTCTACCCTTTCCAAGACCCCAGATAGCTGGGATGAACAGTGGGCAGTGGCCTTTATCTTTTTTTTTTTTGGGGGGGTGAGGACAACCACAAGGATTAATATCCATCTATATAATGCTAAATTGGTATTGTATCTGTCCAGAATTCATGACAAGATGGTCAACATTTTGTAGTGATTTTTTGGTCTTTCAAACAATTGGACTTGGACCAAGTGTATGTTATTATTTCTCTCCAGTGAAGCTTTATTTAGTCATAGTTACCCTGAAAAAAAAAGAGAAACAAAACTGAAAATTATTCTTCAGTTCATTGCTCCTTATGGGTTTCTATATGACATGAAATGAGGCGAGTATTATGCCCAACTCAGATAAGTTCAATAGTTTATATTTCTGGTTATCAAAGAACAATGGCACTGAATCAATCTGACTTTTAACTGTAACAGTATGGTGTGTCACCAGAAAGGTTCCAAGAGAATCCTTTACTATCCAGTTTTTTCAGGATTTTGACAACAAGCAAAGATGAAGATGGGAAGGTAATAAAACTGGTCATTGGTTTGCTATTTACTTCTGCTTATTGCTGAAAGCAGGTTTACATGTCTATTTATTATTGTTCTTTGAATCCTCATTGTTGGAGATTTTCTTTTGGGTGTCAGGTCTATGTCTCAACTGTTCAAGCATACAACTACCCAGTGTCTGCATTTCAGTGGCATCCAGAGGTGGTTCTTATGATACTTTGGATATTTTTTTGCATCCCTTACAATTGCAACTTTACTAGTTTATATTTATGGTTTTCATTATAGGATTGTGGAAATTTAATCATGTCTAACATGACTTCACAATTATCATCCCAAATACCTGACAGTAATAGCCAGCACCAATTTCCTTTGAACTCATTATTATTATTATTTTTTGATCAATAACAGTGCATTTTATTAAAAATTGAGAAAGTACAGAAATAAGGAGCTAAAAAAACTTAACTCCCCAATACATCAAAGTACATTAAAGTACACCCAACTGAAACCAACTACAAAACAGCCCAAAAAATAGAGTTTCTGTTCACCCCTTGCCTAGCTAAGCCATCTGCCAATGAGTTTGCACTTCTCTTTATCCATGTACATCTAACTTCCATGTCCTTACTCAGCCACTTAAATTTCCTCTTTTCATTGTTGTAGTTCTAGAGCTTGGAGTTGTCCTCTTTTAATCAGTTCACTACAATTTCAGAATCACCTTCTATGATCAATTTCTTGAAATGCATGTCTTTGACCCTTTGTACTCCTTCAAGAGCTCCTAATATCTCATCCCTCTAGGAGTTTCCCTCCCCAATTGGGGGCCAGAATACATAGCTAACAGTAGAAACCACTGATTGTAGATTTAGTTGAATTTCTTGTGAAAGGAAAAGGGGAGGAAGATAAAGATTTCAGTAGTAGAGAAGAAAAGAGAGGGAGAAAAGAGTAGGAAGTCAACCAGGATTCTTGAAAAAAGTAACCCTAGCTGCCAACCCCTCATTATATTTATACTTAACATTAAGGATGAGATATTACAAGGATGCCCTTAGTAGGGCGGCTACTAATGTAGCTGAACAGTCACAACTTAAAAACATAAACTAATGGGCCTAAAGCCCAACAACTTCCTAACTAAATAGCTTAAAATAAGAATAAAAAACAACTAAGCCCAACTCAACACAAACATATTCCTTTTTTCATCTCTTATCACTCTCCCTATTCTAGAGGGCCCTGGATTGCCCAAACTACTACCATCAAAGTTTAGTTTGATAAACCCGCTTGGTGGAGGGGTCCAACAAGAACTTGAAGCTTTCTTACTTGAAATTGATTCTGCAATTTCCTTCCAATTCCTTAGCATCACATCAACTGAGAACTCACCAAACAACTCCAAAGTTTTTAACCAATGTATTACCCTTATGTGAATAATCTCCAATATTACTCCCAAGCTTCTTTCTTTGTCTAGAAAAATCCACGAATTTCTCTCCTTCCAAACAGTCCAACAAATTGCAGCCCTTACACATCTCCACATAACCTTCGCCCTTTTTGTTGAGTAGTTGGGCATGGAAGTGAATAAGCTTTGCACATTCAAAGGGGGAGTCCACTTGCACCCAAACAAAGAAGTAAACCATTCCCAAATAGCTTTAACAAACTGACAAGAAATTAGTAAATGGTATCCAGACTCACCATTGGATTTTCAGAGGACACACCAATGAGGAGACAAACAACTATTGGGTCTTTTTCTTTGAAGTAAATCTCCTGTATTAAATCTTTCCAGAAAGGCTTCTCAACAAAAACTCCCAACCTTCGGAGGTATAGGTTGATTCCACACTTCTTTAACAGGGAATGACTGTCCAACAAAAGAAGGTTGTATCAGGGCTTTGAAGAAAGAGGCACAGGTGTAGGAGCCCGGGGGAGTGAGTGTCCAAATTCTATTGTCTTCTTTTGTTGTCTTTAGGAAGATCCCTTTAAGGATGGATAATAAAGCTGAAATACAACCTAATTCTGTGTCCCTTATATCTCTTCTCAACCCCAGGTTCCAACCGAATCCAGAAGGTGAGTTAGAAGGTACAAGGAAGAAGGAAACTGGTTCATTTTTAAGGGTAGAGATAGCAAAAATATTTGGAAACTGATCTTTCAAAGGGGAATCCCCAACCCAAGCATGTTCCCAGAATTTAATTAGGTTACCTGAGTGCAAATCATACCTGATCCAGGGAGAGAATACGGGCAAAGTAGCTTGAATAGCTTTCCATGGGGATGCTCTTGTAGTCCTTGCTAGAATCCCAGAGTCCCATCCATTGTCTACCACCCCATGAATACTTCCCACTATCTTTACCCAAAGTTTTTTTTTCTCCAAAGAAAATCTCCATAGCCACTTCCCTAATAATGCTAATTTCCTATTCCTTATGTTCCCAACTCCCAAACCGCCCTCCTTCTTACTCCTACACACCATCTCCCACCTAACCCTATGGTCCTTCTCTTCCCCTGGCTCCCAAAGAAAATCTCTCATAAGTTTTTCTAATCTGCTAGCCACCCTTACTAGAATCTTAAAGACTAACAAAAAATAGACAGGAAGGTCAGCTAATGTGGATCTAATTAAGGTGATTCTCCCTCCAAGAGACAGATAATTTTTCTTCCATTTCGCAAGTCTCTTGCAAACCTTTCCATAACCGGAACCCAAAATTCATCTCTCTTATTTTGTTTTGACCCTGTTTGGCTACTTCTTGGCTTATTTATTTTCTTTACCAGCTTCAACTAATTCATTTTAAGATGTATTACTGCCCTAACTTGTTTTTTGATCTCTTCTAAGCTTGAAATACTTTTCCCCAGTGGGTGGAATTTGGTAACATATGCAGGTGCTTGGGTCCTTTATTCAATTTCTTATCAGGGTATCAATCTTTTGATTGCTACTTTCTAGGTATTGGTTAATGTTGGTTCATAAACAAAGTTATACTATTTATGTTGCTGAAAGTTCAAGAACACAAGTTTGCTAGTATGCATCCATAGAAACTTGGTTTGATTAGGAATTGTTGTGCTAGCAAGAAAGTGAAATAGCGTTTGTATAGATCTGGTTGTATTCTTAGAAAATCAAACTCAAGGTTCAAAGTAAAACATTGAAATTGGAAATTTTTGGACAAATTGACAAGAGGTATAGCATAAGAAAGCTGTTGAAATACTGACATTATTCTTTCAATTTGGTTTGTTAGCTAGTGTAGTTTGGTTTTGATGTTCCAAATGCTTTGAATTTTCTCTTAGACTTAGACAAATTTAGACTTGAGAAATTGACAAAATCAAAAGTGAAGAAGATAGATGAAATGCCTTTTGGAAATAGAACTATAACAAAGTGAGAGCTGTTGGATACAGCCCAAGGATGTAAAACTAAATTAGTAAATCCAATGGTTTAGGCGCACACACATCAAGATTGGTGAAAGCTTATGTTAATCTTTTCAGTATCTACTTGTACTAATTATTGGTCATATATGATACATGGTATTCTTATCAGTCCCAGCAGCAATTTATCACTCTTTTAGGAGTAAAGGACCTTTTCTTCTCTTTCAAACATAGTACACCTAAAAAATTTGTTGAAGTGTTGAAAATTTGGATCAATGTATCAGATAATTTATGTTACATGCAGGCATGCAGTTCATTTATTGATTGTATATTGTCTATTGTTCTTGACATTAATCTTTTCAAGAGTCAAAATATAGGATCATTCGAGAAGTGTCTTTCCCTGATCCATATGATGTAAATGAATTTCTGATTCCTGTCTTCTTAAGAGCTCTCATTGAGTTTATAACTATATTTCATTGATTTACTGATACTTTGTAATTTGTTTCTTTAGTGAACCACAAGTAATATGGAACGGTCAACTTTGGTTCTGTCTTTCTCTGTAATTTTCTTGCCTGCTGATTCTAGTAGTGCAATTCTTGTTCACTGTACTGCCACTTTTTTTCTCTCAACGTAAACATTGAAAAAACTGACCTTCTTTTCTGCAGAAAAATGCATTTGAATGGGGTTTATCAATGATTCCACACACTGAAGATGCAGTTCAAGTCACCCAGCTTGTTGCCAACTCTTTTATCAGGTTGTAATTGACTCAAAACATGATATTGAGTTAGGGATCTTTCTTTTCTTTCTTTTTTTATATAATTCTTAATGAGTAATAATTGGCAGTTCCTATTTCTTTAATGGATTGTCTGACCTGATAATGATTTGAAAATCAGCTTATCCCTTTATATGGACTGTTTGGAATCATGTTGATTTTTTTTGGAAGCTGCACCATTACCATGTTATGTGAGGGACTGTTTGAAACCATGTTGATTTTATGTCTGTTTTTAAGATGCTAGTGAATGTGAGTAAAAAATTGGAAAGGTTGATGAGGGACTTTTTGTGGGAACCACAGAAGGAGAAAAAGGACCATAGAATTAGTTGGAAAATGTGAGCAGTAGCAAGAAGTTTGTTGGGTTGGATCGAGGCAATTTACAAAAGAGGAATACAGCTTTGTTGGGAAAGTGGGTTTGGAGGTTTCCTATGGATAAGGACAAGCTTTGGGCTAAGATAGTGATTGGTATTAATGGGCTTGCAACTGACAGTTGGGATGCTGAAGTACTGAAAGGAGCTACCAGAGCCTCTCCTTGGAAGGCTATCCATGCTATCCTCCTATCTTTCCTCCCTTTTATCAGGTATGATCTTCGTTCTAGTAATCTTATAAAATTTTGGGAACAGATGTGGGTGGGTAATATCTCTTTGAAAGAAAAATTCTCCCTTGTCAGGATATAAAGGTAAACCTGTGTCCTCGTTCTTGGTTCCTTCAAGCTCAAGGAATGGTGTTGATTGGGATTGGGGTTTGAGGAGGGGTGTGAAGGATTTGGAAATTGATGATGTTTTGGACTTGATTCATATCCTTAATGGCGTTTACTTGGGATTCCTCTAAACCTGATAGTTGTAGTTGGACCCCATCCTCCTCTGGTGTTTTTTCCAGTGCTTTTTTCTTTAAGGTCCTGATTCGACCTTTTAACTCTTTGGGGATACCTTTCTTGGTGAAGGAGGTTTGGGGTAATCCCATCCTCCTGATAGTTGTAGTTGGACCCCATCCTCCTCTGGTGTTTTTTCCAGTGCTTTTTTCTTTAAGGTCCTGGTTCGACCTTTTAACTCTTTGGGGATACCTTTCTTGGTGAAGGAGGTTTGGGGTAATCCCATCCCTCTAAGAGTTGGAGGTGTTTGTTGGGAAGTCTTCCTAGAAAGAATTAATACTTGTGATTTACTTCAAAGGAAAAGGACTAATTGGTGCTTATCCCCACACTGGTGTGTTATGTGTAAGGCTAGTGGAGAAACTTACTTTCAATTATTGATCTCCTGCCCTTTTGTAGCTTGTATTTGGGAATGGTTTTTCTTGTTGTTTGGGTGTAGGTGGTCTCCCCTGGCTAATGTGCAAAGCTTATTTGCTTCTACTTTCTTGAGATGGCCAAAAAAAGGGGACGGATGTTATGGAGATGGGTAAGGGCAGTTGTGTGCTGGACTATATGGGAAGAAAGAAATGCAAGTGGCTAGTTCTGAAGATGTTTGCTGATTTCTCAACAGGTGACATCATGAACAAATGGAAGGAAGTGGCTAGTTCTGATTGCCACTAACCCAACATCAAGTTGAACTTTGATGGGAGTAGTGCAAGGAACCCAGGCCCATCTGGTATTGGAGGGGTGTTTAGGGACAGTGAAAGCAAGATCATTGGTCTATATTCAGGCCCAATTGGAATGGGTGGTTCCCGAAGGGCTGAGGTTATGGCTGTCATGGAAGGATTGCAAAAGGCAAAAGATCTGAATGTGAGAAAACTGATTGTAGAAGGTGATTCAAAGTTGGTATTGGAGTGGTTGCAAAAGGAAGAAAAGGTTTCTGGACTTTCAATAACAAAAAAAAAGAGATTCAAGTGGATGACTCAAGATATGGAAGTGCAGTCCAGTTGGGTTAAAAGGGCAGCAAATGGTCTTGCTGATGTCTTAGCAAAACAAGGGGTGGGGAGGAACCAGTTGTTTTGGGCTCAATTGTAACAGTTTTTTTTTTTTTTTGTACATGGAGAGTTAAGAAAGTTTACATCTCCCTATCTTGTAATTTTTAAAATAGTTCTAATGAAACTCTGTTATTGATCTAAAAAAAAGTTCAATGAGTCTTAAAGCTTGAGGCAGCATGATAGGCCCTCAGCTGTCCACTCAGGCCCATCCCAGGAGATCCAAACCCAAGACACTCAGCGATCAGGCCATGCATGAGAGAAGCCCCTGATATGTGACTCCTCCATTGAGGTTCGTCTACACGATAAGGCCACGTCCCTCCAGTTAGTTACCCATCGTAGTTGCAACCATGTGCAGGAGAGAGAGAGAGAGAGAGGAGAGTATAAATAATTGTAATTCGATCTAATCGGCATGAGAAGTAAAACCCTACTATTCTCCTCCCTTCTTCTTCTTCTCCCCTTCTCTTTTTCTCCCTACTCCTACTCTGTTTTAGGAGGGTGAGCTTCCTCGAACCAGCTCAGAGTTTCAAATTTTTGAAGTGAATCTATCAATTGGTATCAGAGCCTAGCTCCACGATGACCAACATAAGATCAACTACGGTGGATGAATGGGTCGATCGTATTGAAGTGGAAATTCATAGAACCACATCAGAACTAAGAGACATCAAGGAGACTCTATCTGCCTTGGTGGGATAGTTCGAGTGAAGTCGACTCCAATGGCGAGGGATCCAGAAGCTGAAGGATCCAGTAGCAGTGCTGGAAGATGTGGAGGGATCTCCTCAGACAAAGTGATGAAAATCATCTTCCCAATTTACTCAAGTGATGATCCGATACCCTGGATTTATCGAGCTGAACGTTATTTTGAATATCATGAGACCTCGACACATCAGCGGGTGCCCATTGCCTCCATCCATCTAGACGGGGAGGCCATTATGTGGTGCCAATGGTACTGGAAAACCCACCCCTAGACTACATGGATGGATTTCACAGAAGCCTTACGTGTAAGGTTCAGACCATTTGGGTATGAAAATTTTGATGAATCACTATCTGGAGTCAAGCAAACTGGTAGCCAATGGTACCGGAAAACCCACCCCTAGACTACATGGATGGATTTCACAGATGCCTTATGTGTAAGGTTCAGACCATTTGGGTATAAAAATTTTGATGAATCACTATCTGGAGTCAAGCAAACTGGTAGCGTACATGAATAGCAGACAGAGTTTAAGAGGTTAGCTACCCGTGTGCATGGTTGACCTAAAACTGCTCTGGTTGGTTGTTTTATCGGGGGATTACGGGAAGGCATAAGGATTGAAGTGAAATCACTACAACCTTCAACCCTTATCGCTGCTATCGGATTAGCTAAACTCCAAGAAGACTGGCTGAACCGATTAAGGAAGACCACTAGACCCGTTGCGCCCACGATTGGACCTCTTTTACGCAATCCACCCAACTGGATGGATTCCACCCTAGGACCATTACTTCCCACTCCTAACACTAAACCCGAAGTCCCAACACCTAAGAATCCTGGAACCATGATCGTACCCTACAAGAAGTTAACTTGGACCGAGATGCAGGCCCGTCGTGAGAAGGGGCTATGTTACAACTGTGACAAAAAATTTGCCCCAGGGCATTGGTGCAAGATCCCTCACCTCTACCTATTGCAAGTTAAAGAGGAGGATGCCGTCAGGGAAGGGGAACCGGAAGTTAGACCCATCCAGACGGGCCTATTGCAAGTTCCGAGTCCACCCAGACGATGTAACTAAGACTGCCTTTTGGACATCGGATGGACACTACAAGTTTGTAGTTATGCCATTTGGTTTAACGCTCCCTCCACTTTCCAACGGCTCATGAATGAAGTATTCAAACCCTTCCTAAACGTTTTATACTTGTCTTCTTTGATGACATTCTTATTTACAGTCCGACTTGGGCCTCACACATGGAGCATCTATGTTGCACTCTGGACCTACTTAGGCAGCACTTGTTGTTTGCCTAGCCCACTAAATGCTCGTTTGGGCAGACCTAGGTTAATTATCTCGGACACATAATATCTGGTGGCAAGGTCTGCATTGATCCCGACAAAGTTTCCAGCATGGTGAACTGGCCTAGGCCCATGAACCAGAGGTCCCTCAGAGGGTTCCTTGGGTTGACGTTGACCGGTTATTACCGGTGTTTCATAGCAAGTTATGGCATGTTGGTTGCACCTCTCACTAAGTTATTAAAGAAACAGGCTTTTGAGTAGGATGAAGCAGCTGAACAGGCATTCCAATCTCTTAAGAGGGCAGTCACAACACCACCCACCTTGGCTCTCCCAGATTTCAATAAAGAATTTGTAGTTGAAACTGATGCTTTCGGGAGGGGAATTGGACAGTTCTAATGCAGAATGGACAACCCTTGGCTTTCTACAGTTGAGCTCTGTCAGCCCAGGCCCAAGCGAAGTCCACATATGAGAAAAAGTTGATGGCGATTACACTACCAGTATACAAGTGGAGGGCATATCTTCTGGGTTGGATATTCACAGATCACCGAAGTATTAAACATTTATTGGAGCAAAGGATTCTAAGCCCAGAACAACAGAAGTGGACCTACAAGTTGTTGGGCTATGATTTCCAGATTGAATACAAACCTGGGCCTTCCAACGCCGTCGCAGACGCGCTATCCAGGGTAGAAGTGTTCCAGCTTATGGGCCTGTCCAAGCCCAGTTATCCATTATTTGAGTTCATCCAACAGGAGCGGCAATCTGATCCAGAACTCAGCCAGATCCGAGCTCAATGGCTCCAGGACCCAACTGCAGTTCCCGGTTACTCCATAACAGGGACTACACTCTTTTATAGGGGTTGTGTGGTGGTGGCAAATAAATCAGATTATCAGAGAGAGTTGCTTAAACTTTTCCACAACTCATCTGTGGGAGGGCATTCTGGGTTTCTCAGAACCTATAAGAGTGTAGCAAGCCATTATAATTGTAAGGGGATGAAGCGTATGATTCAGGATTATGTGGCCCGTTGTGATGTATGTCAGCAACACAAGTATAGCACCCAATCTTGACCGACAAGGATCCCCTCTTAATGAGCAGATTCTGGGAATCT